TCCTTGGTGCAATTTTCTCCTTGCTCCACAAGTCACTGCCAACTCCCTAAATAACTGGTTTTAGAAATTGAAACACATCCAAGGCAATATGCTGAGCCTCTGAAGAATGGGTAAAGTGTGTGTGTGTGTGTGTGAGAGAGAGAGAGAGAGAGAGAGAGAGGGGGGGGTAGGTGGGTAATGGAGAGAAAGAAAGAAAAAGAAAGAGAGAAAGAGAAAAAGAGACAGAAAGAAAAAAGAAAAAGAGAAAGAGAGAAAGGGAGAGAGTGAAAGAGAGAGAGAGAGAGAAAGGGATAGAGAGAAAGAGAAATGGAGAGAAAGAGAAAGAAAGAGAGAGAAAGAGAAAGAGACAGAAAGAGAGAGAAAGGGAGAGAAAGAGAGAGAAAGAGAGAGAGAGAAAGGGAGAGAGAGAAAGGGAGAGAAAGAGAGAAAGGGAGAGAAAGAGACAGAGAAATGGAGAAAAAGAAAGAGAAAAAGAGAGAGAGACAGAAAGACAAAGAAAGAGAGAGAAATGGAGAGAAAGAGAAAGAAAAAGAAAGAGAGAAAAAGAGACAGAGACAGAAAGAAAGAAAAAGAAAGAAAAAGAAAGAAAGGGAGAGGGAGAGGGAGGGAGAGAGAGAGAGAGAGAGAGAATTGGATTGGCAATTCCAACATTTTACCCATTTTAGGACTTTGTGTGACGAAGAGTGAAGGACAGGTGCTGTGTCTGATAGATTGATTGCTTCTGGGATAGTTGCGGTCTCGGTGTGTGTAAAAGAGCGCAGGAGAACGAGAGCCCACTCGTTCGGAAGCAGCTGCCAATGCAGCAACTGAAGCCGACTTGGTGATAAATGGGGACCGAGGGGTGTCACTCAGCATGGCAGGGCCACTAGAAGTGGGGTGCAGCATCCTCCGGCTGGGGGAGGGGAGGCAATCGGGGGATCCTCACCTCTTTCTGGCAAGCTCGTTCTGCACACCAGTCCTTGCCCAGCGAGCTTTCACGGGAAGGCAAAAAAAACCTGAAAAAAGCAGGGGCCATTTTGTGAGTGTGACAGAGTCTGTGCTCATCTTCCTAAAAAACTTGGTGACTTTGGCTGAAAAGGGCTGTCCTTTTCTAAGAGGCAGATCCGAGGTGGGAGGAAAGAAGATCTAAGGCAGTACTTCTCAACCACCTGGGCGACTTTAAGCTGTATGGACTTCAACTCCCAGAATTCCCTAGCCAGCTTGGGGACAACTTTGAGCTGTATGGACTTCAACTCCCAGAATTCCCCAGCCAGCTTGGGGACAACTTTGAGCTGTATGGACTTCAACTCCCAGAATTCCCCAGCCATCTTGGGGACAACTTTGAGCTGTATGGACTTCAACTCCCAGAATTCCCCAGCCAGCGTGGGGACAACTTTGAGCTGTATGGACTTCAACTCCCAGAATCCCGCAGCCAGCTTGGGGATAACTTTGAGCTGTATGGACTTCAACTCCCAGAATCCCCCAGCCACCTTGGGGACAACTTTGAGCTGTATGGACTTCAACTCCCAGAATTCCTGAGCCAGCTTAGGGACAACTTTGAGCTGTATGGACTTCAACTCCCAGAATTCCTGAGCCAGCTTGGGGACAACTTTGAGCTGTATGGACTTCAACTCCCAGAGTTAGCCCAGTCAGCTTGGGGGAATTCTGGGAGTTGGAGTCCATACAGCTTAAAGTTGCCCAGGTTGAAAAGTACTGCCTTAGATCTCCTTTGCCACAGGATTCTAACCTCACTTGGAAGAAACAATTTCCCCCTTTTGCCCTGTGGAGAAGATCAAATAGATCTGTCGTCTCTGCTGGATCAGCCTTGAGAGAGATTCTCATCTGTAGCTAATAACTTTTGCTTCCAAACTCGGCCATAATTGCACCTTCGGCTACGCTACACTTTCTTTGGGGTGTCATGTGCAAAGCTGATTCTTGTGGTTTGTAAAGCAGGATATACAGATAGTCCTCGACTTACGAGCATCACTGAGCCCCAGATTTCAGTGGCCAAGTGAGACAGTTGTTAAGCGAGTTTCCCCCCATTTGATGATCTTTCTTGCCACCGTTGTTAAGTGAATCACTGCCGTTGTTAAATTAGTAATCCGGTTGCTAAGTGAATCTGGCTTCCCCATTGACCTGGCTTGTCAAAAGGTCCCAAAAGGGGTTGAGATCACCCCGGGGGACACCATGACCGTCACAAATACGAGTCAGTGGCCAAGCATCTGAATTTTGATCACGTGACTCTGGAAATGCTGCGATGGTCGTAAGTGTGAAAAAAGGTCATAAGTTACTTTTTTTTCAGTGCCGTTGTGACTTCGAATGGGCACTAAATGAACCGATGTAAGTCAAGGACTCCCTGTACTGAACAAATTGTGGGCCATTCCATAAACCAGTAGTTCTCAACCTGTGGGTCGGGACCCCATTTGGGGTCGAACGACCATTTCACGGGGGTCACCAAACAAGGCTGTCCGCCATTTTTTCCTCCTTTTCTTTGGCCACGCCCCTGGCACCCGGTGATGTAGAAGTGGTTGGGGGTCACCACAACATGGGGAACTGTATTATGGGGTCGCGGCATTAGAAAGGTTGAGAACCACTGCCATAAATCAAGGTGAAACCAACTGGCATAGAGTGATGTACAAAGCCAATTAGTATGAGGCACCCTTATTCTGCCCAGGAAATTGCTTTGTATTGGGTTATTTTTTTCATCTATTCTAGGATTACTCACTTAATTGCCTGGAGGTCTTTGCTTACTCACCATGGATGACCAGTAACACGCCTGCATTGGCTACTTTGTCTGCCTTGGAGCCCAGAAGCATTCTTGATTTTTCAATGCCTAGTTATTTTTGTATTATATCTGCATTTTTACCCACTGTGGACCTCAGGCAGTAAAATAGAAGGTCATAGACCAGGGAGGGATGTGGGCATAGACTGATAATTAATCTGGAATAAGTGATGTGGAATAAAACTCTGCATTGTATAAATAGATAAGTGTGAACTCCGTCTAGACACCTATAGTGTTTCTGGGAGTGCACCATCCGTCAGAGACAGCTTAGTGCTGTGGCTTATTTATTTGGAGAAGTTAGATGGCCCACCCACTCACTTTCAGTGACTCTAGGCAACTTACAAAAAATCAAAACCCAATGTACAAAGTAAAAACAATAACTTGGATGGAAACTAATCAAGGAGAGAAGCAACCTAGAACTAAAGAGAAACTTCCTGACAGTGAGAACAGTTAACCAGTGGAACCACCTGCCTCCAGAAGCGGTGAATGCGCCAACACTGAAAGTCTTTAAGAAGAGATTGGACAGCCATTTGTCCGAAATGGTACTATAGGGTTTCCTGCCTGAGCAGGGGGTTGGACTAGATGACCTCCAAGGTCCCTTCCAACTTCTTCTTCTTCTTCTTCTTCTTCTTCTTCTTCTTCTTCTTCTTCTTCTTCTTCTTCTTCTTCTTCTTCTTCTTCTTCTTCTTCTTCTTCTTCTTCTTCTTCTTCTTCTTCTTCTTCTTCTTCTTCTTCTTCTTCTTCTTCTTCTTCTTCTTCTTCTTCTTCTTCTTCTTCTTCTTCTTCTTCTTCTCCTTCTTCTTCTTCTTCTCCTCCTCCTCCTCCTCATTATTATTATTATTATTATTATCATCATCATCTTCAACCCCCCCTCGGGATTGCTCTTTCTGTGCAGAAAATGTGGTATTTATTCAGGATCATGGGGACTGGAATCTTATTTTCCCATAATTCGCCACTCGGCGTGAGCTCACACTGATCTCAAATGTCGCACTAAACAAACGGGGGTAAGTTGAGGACTGTATTCTGCCGCGCTCTGACGGTGAGTTCTAGAAGGGAGAGATTGGCTTTTTTTTCCAGCCCCTCTTTCTCTCCAGCTCTTTTTCCTGGAGGACTAAATAGGCAAGCTGCAGCGTCCCCTGTAAGGGAGGCAATTGAATGGGGTTGATTTAAATCTGGGTCTGTTTGGGGTTACATTTAAATCCGTGGAGGTTAATTGACTGGGTCAGTTGATCCTTTTTAATGAGTCCCCGCAACACATCCATCCTGCTTGATGAGGTCAGTGTATTGTGGGAACAGAGTGGCACACAGCTCTGAACCAGATTTGTCCTCCAAAGCAACACACTAATCGTTTAAAGTTTGGGTTAGTTTCTTTCTGACTTAACATGTGGAACACCAGCCTGTTTGGTTAGTTTCTGGTTTAATATCTTGGGCCAAGTGTGTTGTCTGCACACAGCTTCCTGAATATCTCCGTGGCTTTTTTCCTGCATCCTTCCATCCAAGGTTACCAATAGTGTAGATGTGGTGTTTGTTGTCTCGCCTTCTGCAAAGATGTGGTCTGTGACATTCACGGAGAACTGCTCTTGATTGAAAAGGGACTCTGGTTTTTGGTTTGGGGAAAATTGTCCCCCTGTTCCCACGGCCCCCTGGGGTGGAGCTGCACGGATGTCTCCTTGCCCAGAGCCCCCCAAAAGTGTAACAGGGCAAGGGGCTCCCCCGGGCTCCACTAACCATTTTCTTTCCCAGAACGGTTTCTGCTCCCGCTGCGTCTTGCCATCTGAAAATGCAACCCTGTCCTGTTATAAGGCCGGCTTGGTTTTCTTTTCTTTCAAGTTTTGTTGTTTATAACCCAGGAAAGAAAAAAAAAAAAAAAAGCATTTTTCTCTCACCCAGCGATGTAGCATCTGCCTTAAATGCTTTTTTTTTTAAAACATATAATCCCCCCCCAAAAAACCCAACTTTTATTTTTCTCCCCTGTTCCCTTCTTGTTATTGCTTTTGGTTCTCTCTGGCTCTGTCCGGGATTTTAAGTTCTTCCTCCATTCCTTTTCTGTTTGTTTCGGCATCCAGCCCTCAATCCCCTTCCTTTCTCTGTCTGCTGGGGGTCTGGATGCCTGTCACAAGTTAAAAAAATGCTTTTAAATTGTGGCAACGAGGGGAAAAAAAAAACCCTCCCTTTTTCCGTGCGTTTTTATGACTCGTCTTTTTTCTTTCTTTCTTTTTTTCTTTCCTTCCCTTTCAAGGTCCAGCTCATCTGACACTAAACAGCCAAGGTATGGTTTTCCGTTTCTTTTCAGCAAATGACTTTTGCTTTTGTTAATTTCTTCTGTTCTCCAATTCCTGGTCATTTCTCTCTCTCTTTGCGTGTGTTTCTCCCTCGCTGTTTCCTTCTCTTTTCTGGCTGCTCTCCCTCTTTCACTCTGATTTCTCTCTTCTCATCTGCTTGAGCCATTTCATCACCGCAACCGGGTTCTGACGTCTCCCAGGTTTCGTTCTTCTGCCGCTGCATTATCTATTTTATGTCGAAGGGAGGTGTGTGCATTTTATATGTGACAGTTGGGGGGGGGCTCGTTACAGCCCTGCAGAGTGGGATGGGTGGGAGGGGTCTGCTTGATTGCCCCAGGACCCTGGCAACTTTGAAGATGTGTGGACTTCAACTCCCAGAATCCCCAAGAAATTGAGAAAAGCGGTGGCCATTTTGTGAGTGTGACGGAGTCTTTGCTCATCTTCTTATAAAAGTTGGTGACTGAAGAGGACTGGCCTTTTCTCAGAGGCAGAGATGAGGTGGGGGGGAGAAGATCTAAGGCCTGCTGGCTGGGGAATTCTGGAAGTTGAGGTCCACCCATCTTAAAGTTGCCAGGGTTGAGAACTGCCTCGGGGCCTTTATGGGACTCGTGCAATTGTCTTCTTGGGAGAGGTGGGGGGAGCATATCCTGGGTGGGACTCAAGTGGGTGGCCCAGACCAGGCTGGTTCATTCAGGCAGGGAAAAAGAGCTAATTTAGGGGTTCACTTTGCATTAACAACAGAGCAGCCTTTTCTGCAGCCAAAATTGATGTGGCATCCTCCCCAACCATCATTATTTCCAACAGCCATCAAAGGGTTAGGTCACAGGGCTAGGCAACCTTGGCTCTTTTATGACTTGTGGACTTCAACTCCCAAAATTCCTGAGCCAGCATGAGGGAAACTTTGGCCCCCTCATGACTTGTGGACTTCAACTCCCAGAATTCCTGAGCCAGCATGGCTCAGCTCGGAAACCTCTCCCTTTCCCCTCAGCATGGCTGGCTCAGGAATTCTGGGAGTTGAAGTCCACGCGTCATAAAAGAGCCAGGGTTACCCATCTCTGGGTTAGGAGGAGCGAAATCTTGATCCCATAAAATCGGGCAGGATGGATTTCCTCCCCCTCCCCACCTTGTTATTTTGATTATTAATTACTTGGAAATCTTTTTGGAAGGTTGTTGAAGCCCTGGCTATACCAGTTCAGACTGTCCAGTCTCTTCTTAAAAACTTCCGGTGTTTGTGCTGCTCAATCAAAGGACAGAAGAAGCTTACAATCCAGCAACCTCCCCAAAGAGAAGAATACAGGTGGTCCCTGACTTACAGCCACAATTCGGGCCGGACGGTTGTGAAATGAGTCACAGCTGATTTTACAATTTTTTTTTTTTTTTTAACCACAGTTGGTAAACAAATCACTGCAGTTGTTAGGTAGTAAATCCAGTTTCCCCCATTGACTTCGGCCAATAGCCGGCTGAGGAAGTCTCAAAGGTGAGAGCACATGACCTCGGGATGTGGCAACTGTCGTGGTTGTCAAAGATCCGAATTTTGATCCCATGAACCGTGGGGATGCTGCAATTCTCCGAAGTGTTTAGGACCTGTCATAAGTCACTTTTTTTCAGTGCCTTTATAACTCTGAACAATGGCTGAAGGAATGATTGAGGACGACCTTCATCAAATAGAATCACACCTCTTCCCACTAGCTGGGCATTAAAAGCAGCGCTAAGGGATTACCCGGAAGTCAGGAATGACCCTATCCCCAAGAACGTATCCCCCAGGGCCCGTAGCTCACAAGGGAAGAGGACCTCAATGAATGGCCTTCATCAGTGGTCTAGGGCAGAGGTAGGCAACCTTGGCTCTTTTATGACTTGTGGACTTCAATACCTAGAGCCATGTTGACTCAGGAATTCTGGGAGTTGAAGTCCACGAGTCATAAAAGAGCCAAGGCTGCCTACCCCGGGTCTGGGGTCTCTTACTAAAGCAGGGACTAGAAGACCTCCAAGGTCCCTTCCAGCTCTATTCTGATTCAAAGATTCAGATATTATCCAACAGGACTGGTTGAATTGTTCAGAATAGAATAGAATAGGAATAGAACAGAATACAGAATAGAATATAGAATAGGAATAGGAATAGAATAGAATAGGAATAGGAATAAGAAAGAATAGAATAGAATAGAATTAGGAAATATGGAATAGAACAGAATACAGAATACAATATAGAATAAAATGGAATAGGAATAGGAATAGAATAGAATAGGAATAGGAATAAGAAAGAATAGAATAGAATAGAATAGAATAGGAATAGAACAGAATACAGAATAAAATATAGAATAGAATAGAATAGAGTAGAGTAGAATAGCATAGAATAGAACAGAATACAGAATACAGAATACAGAATAGAATATAGAATAAAATGGAATAGGAATAGAATAGAATAGGAATAGGAATAAGAAAGAATAGAATAGGATAGAATAGAATAGAATAGGAATAGAACAGAATACAGAATAGAATAGAATAGAATAGAATAGAATAGAATAGAATAGAATAGAATAGAATTAGGAAATATGGAATAGAATAGAGTAGAATAGAATAGAATAGAATAGAATAGAATAGAATAGAATAGAATTAGGAAATATGGAATAGAGTAGAGTAGAGTAGAATAGAATAGAATAGAATAGAATAGAATAGGAATAGAACAGAATACAGAATAGAATATAGAATATAGAATAGGAATTATTTGTGGCAAGGGGTGCCTGAGGTTGCCCCACTTGTAGGGTTTCAGAGGCAACAGCCAACACTTGGACTTGGGCACGGGAGCTGGCTGGCAACTAGGCAATGGTTGTGCTGCAATGGTGTGGCACAGGTAGTCTCTGACTTACAACCATTCATTTACTGACCGTTTCGAAGTTCCAACAGCGTTGAAAAAAGTGAATAGAATAGAGCTGGAAGGGACCTTGGAGGTCTTCTAGTCCAGCCCCCTGCTCAAGCAGGAGAACCTATCCCATCTCAGACAAGTTTTTCACACTTTTGCAGCATCCCCACGGTCACGTGATCAACATTCGGACGCTTGCCAATTGATTCCTATTTATGACCGTTGCTGTGTCCCTGGGGTCACGTGACCCCCTTTTGCAGCCTTCTGACGAGCAAAGACAGTGGCGAAGCCAGACTCACTTAACAACTGCGTTGCTAACTGAACTGCTGCAGTGTTGCAAAATGGGGCAAAGCAGACTTAACCGCTTAGCGGTGGGAACCTGGGCCTCAGCTGGTGCTTGTAAGTTGAGGACCACCCGTATTTGTACCAGTGGTAGCATCTGGGCTGTCTTCAGGAGCAGCTCTGCCTAAAGGCGGTTGCAGTAGTCCAGTGGCAAGGGGATTAAGGGCGTGAAACCTCGTCACCCAAGTTTTGCACCCTGCCTAACTGTGCCATTTATCTCAGGGTGGGTTAAGGTTTTTGTTTTAAAAAGCAATTGATTTTCCTTAAAATAGAATCCTTTAGGAATTGGTAGGTGGGGAAAATACTCTGAATACATCACAGCTGGCTGGATTCAGCCCGCTGGCCTACAGGAAGATGAACCCCACAAAGACATAATTCCAGCTTTTGAGGGAAAGCCAGCTGGGCAGAACGTGGGTGGGTATTCTGAACATCAGCTTGGGGAAAACCCATGTGGCTTGCCCTGTCATTTGTAATTGCTGTGCAGGGCAGAGCGTAAACCTGTAGTTATCCTTATAGAGGTGAACAAGCCACAACGTGCGGGCAGGTGCTCCCTCTGAGCCCCGTTTTCCTGTGCCCTGCCTCCCCCATTCCCGTCTTATTCGGTACCACTGAATTTTCTTGCAATTATCCGCATATTTTTTTTTCTTTAAAATCCCCAAAGATTCATTTGTAAACACGCTCATTTCTCCTTGGAAAAAGAACGTTCGGAATTGCCGTGCCGAGGCTGAGGTTTGCAGGGTTCACACGAGCCCCTGAATCGGGGCAAGATTTGGCCCCTGAAGTTGTATATAACAGGGGTCTTCCAAACTTGGCCCTTTTATGACTGGTGGACTTCATCTCCCAGAATGCCCCGATCTCTAGCTCCTCTCTCCTCATGCTGCTCATGCACATGGAGCTGCCTGCGCTCTCTTGCGGGCACTTGCGCGGAGCCATCCCTTCTCCCCCCCCCCCGTCGGTCTGCAAAGCCAAAAAGATGGGAGAATTCTGCTCTAGGCAGCTTTCCTGGTGGTCTCCCATCCAAATGCTGTGGAGGCCTAACCCTGTCTAGTTTTTTTTAGATCAGTCATGTTTGGAGAGATGCTGGTGCATCATTTGCCCATGTGGGTTCCCCCCCCATTTTTGAAAACTAGACATTGATATAAGATTTTGTCAAGTTTCCTGTTCCCTAAAACAGAGGTCCCCAACCTTTGGGGCACCAGGGACCGGTTCCGTGGAGAGAGGTTTTTCCACGGACCGGAGAGTGTGTGGTTTTGTGTGCTGCCTGCATCCCACAAATGGGGCTTTGCTTGTTTGTGGGGACCGGTTGTTGGCATGCCGTGGTACCAGTCCACGCACCGGGTTTGGGGACCCCTGCCCTAAAACACATATACTCACTCACCCTCTCTCTCTCACATGCAGACTCAGAGATATTATCCTAGTATTTGGCCCCCTTCTCAAAAGTTTAACTGAGTCATTTGAAAGTCAAACCCGGTGCATTTCCAATGTGGGGAAACCCAGCCTGTTGAATGGGTTGGGCTAGAAGACCTCCAGGGTCCCTCCCAGCCGTAGGATTGATTCTATGAGTGTACGGTTCGAGGGAGCCTAATGCTCAGAAATGAGGTAGCTCAGTACTGTGGTCAAGTTGAGCATGTTGTGCGAGTATCTCTTGTGTAAGACCCCGAAAGGAAGATTGTTGTCAATGTGAGGTTAGTTGTGGAAGAAAAAGGGGTCTCACTCAGGCACGTTTTTTTTGCAAGCGCCAGTAGGTGGCAATGAACCCCAGTGTATTTCTTCTGCATCACTAAAAGG